TTGTTTTTCCTCAGGGCCCCTGGGAGCTAGAGGTAGAAAAAGACTCGATTGAAGGAAGATCGTTTTAACAAGGAGAGCTGTCCCAAAGTGGAATAGGGAGGAAGGGAGTGGGTTCCCCTTCATTGATGGTTCACCTGTCCAGTATGTACAGGGGACTGATGATTTTTTTTTCAGATGTAGGTAGCTCCTATCCACTGCATGGCTACCACCTGTAAAATTCTGTGTTTCCAAAGTCCCATCCGGCTTTAAATTCTGTGATCTTCTAAGGCAGGGGTGGGGCACCTGCGACCTCGAGACTATATGTGGCCCTATAGGTCCTTGAGTGTGGCCCTCTGACTGAATCCAAACCTCACAGAACACATCCCCTTAATAAAAGAATTTGTTCGGTAAAACTTGGACTGAAAGGGCCGCACCCAAGGACCTAGAGGACCACGTGTGGCCTCGAGGCCGAAGGTTCCCCACCCCTGTTCTAAGGTCCAAAGCAGATCGAGATTTCTCCACCCTCATCGACCTCCTTGACGGGGATGCTGCTCTCCTGCCTTACCTTCCCTAATACTGCCCTCTCCTGGTTGACCTCTTCCCTGTCTGACCCTGCTCAATCTCTTTTGCTGGCTTGTTCCCCCCCGCTTCCTCCCCCACCTTTAAGTGTGGGTGTCTCCCAAAGCTCTATCCTGAGCTATCTATCTCCTCTCCATACACTCTCTCCGTGATCTCATCAGCTCCCACGGGTTCAATTATCTCCACAAAAATGACTCCCAAATCTATATATGCGAACCTGATCTCTTTCCTGAATTCTAATCCTTACATCAACATCCTCTTGTGGGGTCTACCTCCACCTGGATATTCCATCAAGCATCTCAAAAGCAACTTGGCCTGAACCGAACGGCACTTTGACTCTTCCCCCCACCCCAAACTGACATAACTCTAAACTTCCCTGTCTGGATTGAGGAGCCACCATCTCCACCATTCTAACCTCAGAGCCATACAAGCTAAGCACATTGCAGTCACAGCAGACTCCTCTGTCTCTCTGATCTAGATTCTGTGATTGTCATTTATCTGGAGGCTATACCAGTCACTGAGCACCCCAGATGTTGAGAGGGGCCCTGGGCTCTACCACTAAGTAGCTTGTGACTCCAGTAGATACCTCAGTCCTCCTCTCTGACATCTGCCTGGATCCACCTGCCAGATGGAAAAGTGAGCATCTGTCCTCTCCACTGCGGAACCCTTTGCTAGAGTGCTGGTCAGTAAGCGGAACAGGAGAGGCATGGGCCAGGGCTCTGGGGCCAGTCTTGGAACAATGGAGGAGAGGGGAAAAGAAGGGATGCAGACAACCAGCTCCCACCCCAAGCTGCAGCCTGAGCCTGAGGTGGGGGAACAGAGAGAGCCCTGACAGGAAGGCATGGGCTATGGACCAGCAGGGAATCTCTTTTCCTGGAGGGGCAAAGGCCAGTCAGAGCAGCAGACTTGGAGGATGCTGGTTAGTAAAAGGAACCAAACCTCAGCCCTGGACAAGGGAGGGCTGGGCGGGGAGGGGGCTCCTTCCCAAGCATTAGGCAGTGGGAGCAAAGGGACCTGGGAGAAGACCACCATCATCAGTGGCTGAACCTTCTTTTAGCATGGTAAGGCTTACCAGGTGCTTTCCTCTCAAGAGCCATCTGAAAGCCAGAGTATGAGGGTCATTATTCAATTCCATTTTACAGATGAGGTCCTTGAGGCTCAGAGAGAAGAAGGGACTTGCCTGGGATCACTCAGTGAGAAAATAGCAAAGTCAGGACTCAAACTTGTTACCAAAACCCCTTGTGATCTGGCTTCCAACTCAAGTACCTTGCAATTGCTGCCAAAATAATCTTCCTAAAACTTGTCTCTTCATGTCATCCCCTTCTCAAAAACCTTCAGGGGCTCCCTATTGCCTATAGGATAAAATACAAACTTTTCAGTTTGGCATTCAAGGTCCTCCAGAATTTGGTTTTGAACTACCTTTCATTCCTTATTGTACATTTCTCCCTTTCACACACTCCAAAGTCTAGGCAAACCAGATGCCAGCCATCCTCCAATCTCATCCTGTTCTCTCCCACCTTTATGAATTCACACAGCCCCGTCCCCTGAGCCTGGAATACACTTTCTACCTATCTCAGCATGTCAAAATGCTTCCCTCCCTTCCAGGTTCAAGCTTTAGTGACACTGCCTCCAAAAGGCCACCCTGATTCCACCCAGCTGGAAAGGCTCTGTCTTGACTCATTTTCCTAGATCACTTTGTAGGAATCTCTTTCCTTTCACCCTCCCTTGTATCATACCTATTTTGTGTCTTACTTCTTTCCATTCTTCCTTCTCCCTGTCCCCCCCCTCCCCCCAGCTCCCTCTGGCAGGGATCCATTTTCTGGTCCCTTTTGATTGGTGTAGGACCACCTCCTCCTCCCATGAAGCTTTCTCACAACCCCTTTGTAACGAACAGTCTTAGCAAGGTGCCTGAAACACAGAAAAAAGCAAATGACTTACCCAAGGTCTCATGGCTAGTTAAGCATAAAGGATGGAACCAGAGCCCAGCTCCTTCAGTGGTTTCTTATTCCCTCTAGGTTCAAAGCAAAATCCTCTGTTTTGTTAAAAGCCTTTTACCACCTGCCTCAAACCTACTTTATTGGACTTACATTACCCTCCTTCATTAACTCCAGCTCTCCCAAGGTAGACTGAACCCCACAGCTGGAGTGCTCTCCCTCTTCCACCACCTCCTCCTCCTCCCCCCCTCCTTTTCCTCCTCTTCCTCACCCTCAGCTTCTTAGAATCTCAAGCTTTCCTCGTCTCATCTCCTAAGCTAGCCTTTCCCGATTTCTCTAATGGCTGTTACTGCTCTCTCTTCCCCTACGTGTATTTTTTGTATTTTATGTGCTGTATCTCACCCCCCCCCTTCTACTCTCATGTAAGTTCCTCGATGCCTGGAACATAGTAGGCACTGGAGAAATGCTCATTGAATTTCAGAGAATCACAAAATGTCAGAGACCATCTAGTCCAAACCATAATCCTACTACAGTGGAGGGAAACTGAGGCCTAGAGAACAAAAGTGAGAAACTCAGAAGCCCACAGTGTTAGAGATGGAAAGGACCCTAGAGAGATCCTAAAGCTAGAGTAGGGCCATGACTTACAATCAGAAGATCTGAGCTGTAGAGCTGGAAGGTAGCTCAGAGGCCATCTAATCTGACCCCTCATTTGACAGAGGAGGAAACTGAGGACCTCTAAGATCTGCCAGGCCCATGCATCTAGGCCTAGAAAAGGCCTCAGAAGCCATCTTGTCCAAACCTTTCACTTTACAGAGGAGGCAACTGAGGTCCCGAGTGGTGAAGGTGACTGGCTGCACCTTGTCAAGTTGTTGGGGGGGGGGGACAGAGACTAGAACCCTGATCTCGTGCCTTCCAGTGCAGAATTTTGAGAAGCGGACACCTTAATTGTTCCTAGTGTGGGCACAGAACCAAGGCAAAAGGGGGGGGGAGGTTAGGAGTGATTAGGGACCTCTCTCTGGGAGTCGGTGGAAAGAGGGAGGCAGAGAGGGCGGGAGGCCTTCTTCCACTCCCCGAGCCTGAATCAGGAACCTGCCCCACCCTGGCCACGCCCCGAGCTGTGCCTTGAGCCTAGCCTATCCTCTGCCCGACAGCGCCACCTGCTGCATGGCCGCCTTCATGGCAAAAAGGGAGGGCCGGCCTCTCCCCAGCTTCAGTCTTGTCTCTGACTTGCATGGCTCACATCCCCAGAAGCACAAGACAGGGGCTGACTTACTCCTTCCTTGAGGCACCCCACTCCCCATTTCTATCTAGGGGGTGAGCGGCGGGACCCAATGCAAAGGACTTCGGACTGGGAAGTCAGGCTCACCTGGGCTGTAGACACTGCGGACACTCCCTAGCTGTGACCTTGGACCAGTCCCTTCCCTTAATCTTCAGTTGCCCTATCTGTAAAATGAGGGAGATGGGGAGGGATGAAGTAAATGATCTCTGAAACCGATCTTTCAGAGCTGATGATGTTACCACAGAATCACAGACTCCTCAGGAGGTGGAAGGAAGCGTCAGTATTCTCTGTTCTGGCTGACTTTCTATTACTCCATGAATGCATTTAAGAGATTTCACAACAATTCTCTGGGACACAAACCACCCTTCACTACCCCAATTGGTGCCACCTGGAAAGGCCCAGAGAGCCCGGCCCTAATGGGAGAAGATCCAGGTGTCCTTGGGGAGGGCTGGGCTGGGAGTGGCTGGGAGGGCAGCTCCAGGTTCTAGGCTAGAAACAGCAGGCCTTCAGCTTGAGATAATGTCAGTCCTACGGCTCCAAACCTTCTCTGCCAGGTGACAGGGCTGTGAAGGACAGTCTAGGGGACAGCCATGCCAAGGGCAAAGGACCTAGGGACCCTATTCCCAGTTTTTGGCCTTGTCTCTTCCCTGGAAAGGCTGAGAAACTAGTAAAAAAAAAAAGTTACTCATCACTAATGTGAAAATATGTTTAATAGGAATGTATATGTAGAACCTATATCAGATTGTGTACCATCTTGGGGAGGGAGGGGGAGAAAAATTCAAAACTCAAAAGCTCATGGAAGTGATTGTTGATAAATCAAAATACATTTTTAAAAAGTTACTGAGGGAGAGAGGAAAGGGGGGCACTGGGTGGGCAGGTCCTAACCAAGTACCAATTCTTCTCAAGGTTAGTGGAAAGGGAGTCACCCTAGCCCACCAAAACCATTAAAGTCAACATCTTTATTTTTTTTAAACTTTTATTGATGCCTTTTGTTTTTATATCATAGTCATTTGCCATATACCACCCCCACCCCGCAAGCCTTCCCTTGTAACAATGAAAACAGTTAAGCAAAACCAAGCGACACAGCAACCACATCTGACAGCGTATGCAAGATTCTGCACCCATAGTCCTCCACCTCTCTGAGAAAAGGGGGGGGGACATGCGTTTCCTCATCTTCTCCAGGAGGGTGCAGATGGGTCACTACAATTACACATGCAGCTTTAGTGTTCTTATCGTTTATATAATAGCAGTCATCGTGTGTATTGTTTTTCTGGTTCTGCTTACCATTCAATTTGATTTCAAAAACATAGAATTCATAAGACTTAGAGATAGCTGGAAAGGAGCTTAAAGACCATTTCATTTTACAGAGGGGAAACTGAGGCCCAGAGAGGGGAAAGGAGTGACTGCTCAAGGCCTCCAAAACCAGCGTTCTTTCCACTGAGATGGGGAGGCCCAGGACTAGCCTACATATCCAACTGGAAGGGACCATGGATGCGATTGATTAATAGCCGATCATGCAATTAATATCCAATAACACAAAATCATTTCTACCTAACATGGGATGTTGGATAGGGAGGGAATGTTATACTTAGGTCAACAGGGCCCTCAATTCTGCCCAGTTCTAACTGTCAGAAAGCTTTTCCTGGCATCTGGCCTCAAATAGCGATTTCATGGCTTCTTATTCTGCCCCATTCTGATGCTTGACGGTAGTGAGCGTGTTGTCTTCTGAAGTTCTCAATGCCTTCAAGCTGATCCTCCTATGCTCCCATTTTGACTCCACTGGTCACCTTTGTCTGGATGCCCTCCTACCATCCTGGGCCCAGACTCAAGTACTGTACTCCAGATCTGACCAGGCAAGGCCACAGCTAAGCGGGAGGGTCACTCCCTAAGCCCCAGATCACGGGAGCCTCATTGACCACCACATCGCCTTGCTGAATCATCTTGAGATCGCAGTCCACTCAACCTGAGCTACTTTCAGACAAACAGCTAAGCAAACTAGTACTTGGAACCCAAGTATAAGCCTTTATATAGCCCTCTGGCATCTCATCTGAGTAGATTCAACCCATCACTGGAGCTGTCAAGATCTTTTTCATCTAAGGTGCTATCTACAAATTTAATAAGCAACCAAATTTATCCCTTTATCCAAGTCACTGCTGAGGATATTAGGCTAGGGCCAAGCACAGATCCCTGGGGGATCCCTGCAATAGGGGGAAGAGTTCCCAGCAATGAAAACTATCTCAAAGCAAAAGGGATGGCCTCTATCCTATCCCCAAAGGGACCTCGGCTGAGTTTGTGTGACTGTCTCAGGCCCTGGGCACAGACACACTTAGTTTAGCCCCTGGGGACCTGCTAGCTGGGCCTATTCATCGAGAGGCTTCACACAGGACAGGCCTGCTCTCCTCATCCTAGCCTGGAATGCTCTCACTCACTTAAAATCTCTCAGCTCCAGTGCCAAGAGGCTTTTACCAACTCCCTCAGCTGCTAATCCCTTCCCCCTCAAATTACTGTCTATACATTATACATAGTTTTTACTTTTCTCTGAACATATTCACTCCCCATCTCCCATGTAACTCCCTGAACACAGGGATTATTTTTTGTCGGTGTCCCTGGCGCCTCACAGTGGCTGGCACACAGTAGACGATCGATAAGAATTTGTTGATGGATTGACTGGCTGAGCACCCAGACACTAGAGAGTGGGGACAGTTTTGGATTCCAGCTCTAGCACCTTTCCACCCTTGGTCTGTGTCACCACAGAGTGACCAGTCAAGGAGGGGGCCTGAGAGCCCTGGCATGGGAGGACTCAGCATCTGGGTTCAAAGTCCCAGTTTCAGCCTCAGTGCCATAGCGGGCAGGGACTAGATGGTCTCTAAGATCCAGCCCAGCTCTAAATCTCTAGATTCTATGGATAGAGCTACGCGGGCTGCAAGGGTGTGGGCATTTCCATGGGCCGCCCAGGGGCAGGGCCTGCCTCCTCCGGAAGCAGATGGGAAAATGACTACATCCGACGTCCTACCTAACAAGGTTCCTCAGCCCAGGATGTCCTGGGACAGCAACAATCTCCCTGCATTCCTTCTCTCACCTCCTCCAGGACCACTTACTCGGTGGTGGGGAGAGGGGGATGGCTGCAGGAGACTATGCCAAGAAGATGGGGCCTCTTTGGCCTAGAAAGGCAAACTCTTCCAGGGTTGGGGGACCCGAAGGATACATACAATCAAGAAAGGGCTGAGGGGAACAAGCACGGAGATGTTCACGGCACCCCAGGCACAGAGATCCAGGGTCCTGCCCACCCTTCTTCAGCCTGACCGAGGCAGGTTTTGGCCAAGTCCAAAGCTGTCCTCTCCCACCGTGGGAGACCTCGGACAGCGCTGATTGCCAGAAAAGTCGTCCTGGCTTAAGATCTAAGTAGCTTCCCAAAAGTTTGGGAAGGAATTCCTGAATGACTGACCCAGAATGGGAAATTCAGATGCTTGGGGACATCTCTGGCCAGCAAGGTTGGGTTCCAGGCCCTCCTCACCCAGGTGTCCTAACTGTCATTTCTAGAGCTCTTTGTCAGCTTACAAAGGGCTCTCCTTACAACCTCTCCTCTGGGAGGTAGGTAGTGTAAGTATTATTTTCCCCATTTTACAGAGGAGGAAACTGAGGCCCAGAAAAGGGCAGTGACTGGCCCAGGATCACAGAGGAAGTGGTAGAACCAGGATTTGAATTCCAAATCCAGGGCTTTTGCCACTAAGCCATGCTGGTTTCTACATACTTGAGCACCTAAGTGCATGCATGTGGATGGGCACACAGACACACAAGCACACACAGACAAAGCTCCCAAGCTGCCCCTGGGGACCTACAGCACTCAGGGGGCATCCCTCAGTGTAGGGAATGGCAATGAAGAAACTGATTCAGGCAAGGTTACTCAGCTGCAAGCCAGTTCAATTTCCCAATGACTGGCCATGGTTGCGGGGCCCTATGTGGGGCCCAGACACCCTTCACTTCCCCCCTCCCCTCCCCAAGGAGCTCACAGTCTAGTCAGGGCAACAGAAACAGCACCCAAAAGTTAGCACTGCCCAGCCTAAGTGGGGGCTTTTGTGGGCACCAACCTCCAGGCCACCCAAGCCACCTCTCCACCCACCAGCTAGGGGCATTATTCTCTGAAGGTTCATGTCTCTGAATGGCCCTGAAGCCCAGGGCTTGGCTCCAGGGATGCCCAACTAATTATGGTCAAAAATGGCAAAGGGCTGGTGACAGGTTTCATTGGCTTCTTGCTGGCATTCAAGGATCAGAGGATCTCTATTGTTAGAGGGGGCCTTCGAGATTATCTAGTCCAACCCTTCATTTTACAGATAAGGAAACTGAGGCTCAGTAAGGTGAAGGGACTTGCCCAAGATCACAGAGTTAGGGAGTGGCAGAGCTGAGGTTCAAAGCCATGTAATATAGCTCGAAATCCAGAGCTCTCCCACTGTTCCTTGCTGCTTCTAGGCAGGCCCTAGTTGGCAAAACTGGCTGGGCCTCTCCCAGATGCATCAAGGTTAAAGGCCAGGTTCTTTAACACAGAGGGTCCCAGGGGGCTTGGGCATAAACAATAAGGCTGATGGTGGAGAGCTCCCCTCCCCCACCCCATGCTTGGTGGTGCCCTTGACTTCTCTGCCAAGCTCCCCCAGGTGACTCCAAAGCAAGCACCAGGGAGAGGGGAGAGGAGGGTTCCATTCAAGATGGCAGCCATGAGAGATTCACCTAGAGATGGCCCTGGCACTTGACTGGTGGGTGAAGCTCCCTTGAGGAGCCCTTCTCCAAAGAGGGCCAGAAATCCCTCTCTTCAGAGTTCCCCTTCTCCCCTACCTCCTTCAGCTCCAGTCCTGGGCTCCTGGAAAGGGCCCAGGGCTCCAGCCAGCACCATTCCCGATTGGGTCAGGTTGGGCTCAGCTACCAGCAGGGCCCCTGGGCTGGTGGCGAGTTCCAGTTCAGCCACGGGGGTCAGGCCGACAGAAGGGCAGCTGGTGGGGGTCTGGGGCAGCACAGGGATCCCTGGGGCTTCCTGGGGCTGGGAGTTACCCAGGAGCCCCTGCATCTGAAGTGGCTGAGGCTGCCTCAGGGCCTCGTCAGCCACGACACCCTGCAGGTAGGAAGGGGGCCCAGGAAGTGCCTCCTTCACTCCTGGAGTCCTAATGATGGCAGCCACCAGGGTCCCCGGGGGCCTGGATGCAGGCCCAAGGGCCGCCGATGAGAGGCTGCTAAGGACAAATGGACGCCCTGCTGAGGCTGAGCCCTCTGGGAAGTTAGATCCCAGAGGGAAGGCAGCCTGCAGGGTGACGATGTCCTTGAAGGCCGAGGCCGAAGGGACCCCCTGGAGGACAATTTGGGGATGAGGTGGCCGAGGTGCCTGAGGAGCCACTGGCCAGCACTGTGGCCAGTGGGATGGTCTGAAGGGTAAGGGCTCCCAGGCCTGAGCTGGATCCGGCTGCAGACACTCCACCGTGGTTAGAAACCAAAGAGGCACTAAGGAGAAAGAAAACAAGCCACGTGAGGCAAGGGGCAGCCCCCAAATACGCTCTATGCTTTATCACCCCTAAGTATTTGCTCAACGTATCCCCTCTACCTGCAATGTCCTCCCTCCCTCTCTTCACCTGTCCAATTACTACCCTCTTTTAAAGTGTAAGTAACTCAGATGCACCTTCTCTGGGAAGGCGATTCCTTTCTCCTTGTAGCATTTTCTTAGGGACCTTAATTAAGGGTTGGCAGGCATTACTTTATCATGTATCCAAGAGACATTAGAAGTTGTCCAATCCAACTCATTTTATAGATAGGGAAACTGAGGCTCAGAAAAGAGAAATGTCTCATCCCAGGTCATACAGGTAGATGGGATTTGAACTCAGGTCCCCTGACTCTAGTACCAGGGGTCTTTCCATTCACTGCACTGCCTCCCCTTTGTTCTGCCCTTCTCATGTTGCATCTATTATATAATATAAAATATTATATTAATCATTTTCACTATAGTTATCTGTTTTGGGGTCTTAGCCCCCTACTAGAGTGTCACCTACTTGAGGACAGGAACCAGGGCCTATCCAAAAGTCGTATGGCCTTCAGTGCCTAGCACAGGGTTCTGTGTACAGCAGGTGCTTAATGGATGTTTGTTGAAAGAAATTATCCAAGTTAGAGAAGCTATATGTACCATGTGGAATGCATGGATCTCAGAGCCAAAAAGATCTGGGTTCAAGTCCTACCCCTGACACATCCAGGCTTTGTGAACCTGAGCAAGTCACCTCCTCTCTCAATGCTCTGGGCAGCTCTCTAGAGACAGAATCCACAAAAGCAATGAGGCATCGTAGTCTGTCCAGGGAGAGTGAGAGCTTCCAAGGTCCCCAAGATCCCAAGCAAACCTTATCTTCTGGGTTTCGCCCAGGGTGAGGGAAAACAGCAGTGGCCCAGCCTTTGGAGGAGAGGTCCACATCAGGGGAGGGTTTCTCATCTTGTCGAGCCCAGGGTCTCGGGCCTGCCCTTGTTCTCAAAGTGACAGGCTGTAGAACAATACATCTGACCCAATCCTAGCTGCCCCATCAATCAACTGTGTGACCTTGGCCAAGTCACACTCTCTCTGTGCCTCAGCTTCTGGATACTAACACCTGCTTCCCTGACCTCGCTGGGCTGTTCAACAAGCAAATGAGATCACAGTTGTAAAAGCACTCAGCAAGGAGGTCTCCCGACAGCAGGTAGTCAGAGAGAGCACCAAGGATCTTACCTGACTGTGCGGGCCAGAGTCCCCCGAGCCTCACCAGGAGGGGCTGCTACGGCAGCAGCTGCCGCAGCCACAGCAGCCATGGCAGCAGCTGAGCTCTCCTTAGCCATAGCTTGCAGGCTCAATGCTGCCTGCGGGCCTTGTTGCAGAACCTCCATAGGGGGATCCTTCTTCTGCTGAGTGGAAGGCCGGGCTGAAGCCTTAGAAGCAGCTCGGCGCGGAGGTGGGGCCTGTTGGAGTTCAGCACTGGCCTCATCACCCTCTTCATCTTCGATTATCACCAGGTCTTTGGGCATTTCCTTGAACTGGTACACCAGCCTCTGCCCTTCCACTTTGGAGAGGATGCCCCTCTGATAATAATACCTGGGGGCAACAGGGCACAGTTGGTGGGGAGGGAGACACTGAGCCACGAACCTCAGATGCCTGAGCTGCCCTGCCAGTGCCTCAGGAAAGCCCTTTACTGGCTCAACTTCCAAAGACCTTGGAAATAATCATAATCGTAATTCCAAGGTCTTTGGAAACTGATCTAACAAAGAGATTTCCCAAATATATTTGCCAAAAAACAATATTAATAATTATCATCGTCATCATCATCACTACTGCTACTCTTGCTCCTACTCCTACCACTACCACTCAGAGATAAACTGGAATACATGTTGTAATCCACAACTCCTCCCCTTGACAAGTCCTAGCAGTGTGATTCTGGACAAGTACCTTTAGCTCTCAGGAAGGCTTCAGGCAACTCTGGAGAATTCCTAACTAGGGTCCACATAGCCCACCAAGGGGTCAGTGGATAGATTTCAAAGGGTCTGTGTGATCTTAGATTGGAAAAAACAACATCTTTATTTTCAGTAACCTTTGGTTTCCTTTGTAATTCTAGGTAGTTTAATTTACGGTCCATAGGCTTTATCACCCTGGCTGCCCAAGGGGTCCAGGACCTCCAAAAAGGCTCTAAGCTGTAAAGTAGATGCCAATCTGGCTTGCTAAAAGAGGTTTTCTCACTATAATTTTCCTAAACTAAAGAAATCACCAATCTGGTCAAATAAATAGTAATAGCAGCTCACTCACATTTCCATTGCTTTGAAATTTACAAAGCACTTTCCACATATTATCTCCTTTAAGTGCCCTAGAGGCTAGCTGGTAGAGTCATTTTCACTCACCTAGGGAATTCTGAAGGGACAGGGAGAAGGGGCAGGGGTTGGGGCTGAGACTGGGCAATAATCAGAAAACTCGCTGGGAGAGAGGTTAGCTGGAGCTGGAAGGAGCTTCCCCAACCAGAGGTGAGGGCAGCCTCAGGCCTAGGGGACGGCTTGGGAGAAGGGCATCAGACTCCCGCTTCCCTGGAGGGCAGAATGAGAGGCCCAAAGCAGGAAAGACTGTGGTAGGACACCAAGGAGAACATCTAGGGGATGCAGGGATGGGGATGGGCTTACCTCAGTGCCCGCCCCATAGTCTCGTAGTTCATGTCTGGCTTGTTTTTCTGCTTCCCCCACAGCTTTGACACAGCCTTGGAGTCCACAAGCTTGAAGATGCCCTTCTCACGCTGGGTCCACTTGATGTACTTGGGGCAAGTGTTCTTATCCTGCAGGAGAGCCAGCAGGAACTCCCAAAGGTAGATGGTATTCCCTGGAAGAAGGAACATTGTCACAGAAGAGATCAGTAGTTCCCCAATCAGACTGGGGGCTCCCTGAGGACAGGCACAGTGCCTCTCTCCTCACCAGACTGGGGGCTCCCTGAGGGCAGGCAGTGCCTCTCCCCTCACCAGATCAGGGCCTCTCCAAGAACTGGGACTATGTCTCCATCCTCCCCCCTGCCCAGCCTCCCAGCGCCAGTAGGTGAACGAGAGAGAGAGAGAGAAAGCAGTCTGTACCTTTGCCATCCTTAGACTTCTTCCGGATGGGGAAGTTGGGCTCATTGACTGGTGAGGGACAACGGGGTGCTTTTGCCTTCTGGACTGTAAAGGGGGAGACGGATGGGGAAGCAGGATGAGTACAGTGCCTCAGTGCCCCTGAACCTAGCAGAGTGTCAAAATGGCAGCAGATGAGCCCTGATTTGGCCCGTCCACCGAGGCACATGGTACAGCTTCTCCCACTCACACCTCATTCCATGGTGTCCCAACCCCAATCTGGGAGCCCCAGAGGTAGACATGAAGAGGCCAGCTTCTGGAGGCTCCGTAAGCTCCTTACACATTGGCCTCCCTCTGTGCCGGTTTGTAAACACAGCAGCAGCACATGGCTGGTTCAGGCTCAAAGGCATTCTCTGTGTGTGTGTGTGTGTGTGTGTGTGTGTGTGTGTGTGTATTGGGGTGGGTGAGTATACGTGTGAATGTGTATGTATGTGCATATATATACATATATATATATAGATAGACGTGTCTGTGTATATATATATATATATGTATATATATATATATATATATACACACACACACATACATACAGAGAGAGAGAGAGCTGCCCATCTCCCTCCCCCTCATGCAGACCCCAAGGGCTAATAAAGAAGAGTGGCCCCTCTGCTGTAGTGTAGAAAGAGAGCTAGGCCATAAGCAATAACAAATATGAAGACATCAGAGAATTTGGGGAGACTTGTATGAACTGATGCAAAGCAAAGCAAGCAGAACCAGGAGACAAACAATATCAACAGGCTTCATAACTCTGGTCAACGTAGTGACCAATGGAGATTTCAGAAGCCAGATGGCGAAGCCTCTTCCCACCTTTCAGCAGAGAGGGGTGCACAATAGGTATGGAATGGAACATACGTTATCAGCCATGGCCAGTGCGGTGATGAATTTTGTTTGACCGTGCTTATTTGTTATAAGAGAGGATTTTATTGGCGGCTTGGGGGAAATCATTGGAGAAATAACAGTGATATAAAAAAAATAAAGAGAAAAATGAGGAAGAGGAGAAGGAAGGAAGAAGGCAAAGGGAAGGGGACAGAGGAAGAACAATGAGAGAGAGGGAAAGGAAAGACAAGAAAAAAGGAGGTAAGGGAAAAGGAGGAGAGGGAGGCAGAAAGAAAGAGGGGGGAGAGAGAGGTGGAGGAAGAAGGAGAAAGGAAAGAAGAAAGGAAAAGGAAAGCAAAGAAGAGTTTGTCTGAGAGTCCCGGTCCTCAGCTTCCTTTCGATCCCAGATCTGCCACCAACCCACTGGCTGGGTGACCTCTGACAAATTCCTTAATCCTGGCATGACAGACACAGAAGAGGTTGGGGAGTCTTCTTAGGCTGGGCAGATGTATCCCAAGGAGCCCCTTTCCAATGGCTTTTGATACAATTTGTAACACAAAATGGAAGCTTGGGGCCCCTGGGACTGCTGCACCTTCTTCACACAGTGATGTTTGCCCACTGTGAGATAATTGCTCCAGAAACTCAGTTTACTCCTGAGTAAAATGAGGCAGTTGTACTAGATCAGAGTGATTCTCTTTTCTCTAGCAAGTTAAGGTTCACAACATGTTTTCCTCACAACAACCCTACAAGGGAAGGTATATAAAGTGTAATTATCCCCATCTTACAGAGGAAGAAACTAAGGCTCAGAAAAGGGAAGGGATTTGCTCATGGTCAATTCAATTCATTTCAATAAGTATTTATGAAATGCCTACTGCATCCCAGGCACCTTACCAAGGCACTGGGGATAAAAAGGCAACCACGTAAACAAAGAAAACCAGTGCTAGTAAAGCTCTGAGAGTTTACATTTCACTGGGGAGGGGGGGCAGTGTAGCGAGAGTAAGGAATAAGTACATAGAAAATTGAATACAAACCAGATACAAAGTAATTTCCACAGGTAGTACATTAGCAACTGGGGGATAAGGAATTAGGGGCCATTAGCTGAGCTTTCCAGAAAGCTGGGGGCTCCATGAAACAGAGGGGAGAAACAAGTGTATTCGAAGTGGGAGGGGGCGGCCTATGCAGAGGCATTGAGATGAAGATGAAGCAATGGGGAATGGCCAGTTTGTCTGGAAAACTGGACGTGTGTGTGTGTGTGTGTGTGTGTGTGTGTGTGTGAGAGAGAGAGAGAGAGAGAGAGAGAGAGAGAGAGAGAGAGACAGACAGACAGACAGAGAGACAGAGAGACAGAGAGACAGAGAGACAGAGACACACACAGAGAGAAAAAGTGGGCAGGAAGCCTGGAAAGGCAGCCTGGAGTAACACTGGGAAACGTTTGAATAGTCTAACTGAAGGGTTTGTACCTTTTCCTAGAGGCAAAAAAAAAAAAAAGCCATGAGAGTTTCCTGAGCTAAGGAGTGACACACAGTGAGCCCTGTGCCTTAGGGATATCAAGTTGGCAGCTGGATTGGAGAGAGAAGCAAGGGAGGGAGGAGGGAGGGAGGGAGACCAATTAGGAGTCTCAGCCATAGTGGAAAGGAGAGGTGATGCGGGCCTGGGCTGGGGCGGGGGGGAGGGGAGGAGGGCTCCCGCTGTGGAGGCAGAATTGACAATGCTTGGCAACTAATTGGATGTGAGGGGGTGAGAAAAAGTATTGAAGTATTGAAGATGACTCAGATGTTCTGAACCTGTGACTGGAAGGATAGTGATGCCTCAGGAAGAGAAATGTTCAGAAGAGGGGAGGGTTTGGGGAGGGGGGGAAGATAATGAGTTCTGCTTTGGACATGCTGAATTTGAGATCTCTATAAAACAGACAAGGGGTAGAAGTTTGTCAAATGGTGTGGGGAAGATCTAGTAAATACATGACCTATTAAAATTCAAATCTGGGGCAGCTACAGCACTGGTCCTGGAATCAGAAGGGCCTAAGTTCAAATCCAGTCTCAGACACTTAACTAGCTATGTGACTCTGGGCAAGTCACTTCACCCTGTTCACCTCCAAAAAACAAACAACAACCAAAAAAATACTTTATCTCTATTTTTTCTTAGGTTCATATGCATTGGAAACTCGAGAATTTCTTTCCTTTCATATGAAATAGGGATAGAGGAAGGTTTAATGAAAGCCAAGGGGTCCGAGGACCACAAAAGGTTGAGAATCTCTACAATAGGTCATTGATGATGTAGGATTAGGACTCTGGGGAGCAGCCAGGGTGACTACATAGATATGGGAACCCTCTGAACCTTTCAGGTGTCCTGGACCCTTATGGCAATCAGCTAAAAACCTATGTCCTCCTTCTCAGAAGCAGCTTTGCAAATAACTAGAGGAAATGCTACCTTTCAGAAAGAGGTTAGTGAAAAAAAAAGAAGTAATTTTTCCCATCCAAATTCATGGAAATCCATCCACTGACTTGTTAGTGGGTCTAGACTCCAGGTTAAGAACCCTTGACATAGAGGATAGTTGAAGTCACATAGCCAGGTCCTTGTCAGAGCCAGGATTTGAATCCAGGCCTCCTCACACTCTGCCTCTAGATATGATCTCTAAGCACCTGCCAGCTCAAACGTTCCATAATTCTTTTACTGCCCTCGCTCTAGCACAGAAACTGAGGCCTGTGGAGATAATAAGGGATCATAGGCTGTAAAACTGAAAAGGACCTCAGAGGTCACTTAGTCCAACACCTGCATCTTAAATAGGACGAAACTGAAACCTCCCAGAAGGCAAATATGTCACACAGAGTCAGGATTTGAACCCAGGTCTTTTGACTGCTGGAGCTCAATCTTAGGTCTGCCCCCTACCAGCCCCTCTACCTAACTGATTGCCTGATAGGTTCACTACTTTATCAATTCCAGCGTCACTCACAATAGCCCAGTGAGGTAGCCAGGGCAGGTACTGTTTCTACTTTTACTGAGGAGGAAACTGAGACCCAGAGAGGTTAAGTTATTTACTTATCCATGATCACAAAGAAATTCATTAAGTGTTTATTATTCACCTATTACTTGCCAGGCTAGGAATACAAAGACAAAATGAAACCAATCCCTGCCCTCAGTTGGCTCCCATCCTTAGAATAAGGGAATACGAAGTGATTTCCAGGATAGGAAAGCCTTGGGCTTAGGAAGGGAGAAGTCACACCAGAGCTGAGCCTTGAAGAGAGATGAGGATTCCTGAGAGTGGAGATGAGGAAAGAGAATAGCCCAGGCCAAGGCAAGATAGCCAGTTCAGCCCAAACAGATTGTTGCAGGAGGGCAGAAGGGCTAGGCTGAAGCCACATTGTTCAGGGCTTTAAATGCAATGAGTTGGTCATTTTTCCTGGAGGTAACAGGGAACCACCGACATTTTTTATGGCTGGACCTGTGAAACTCATTTTGGGTGGCTGTGTGAAGGATGAACTGGAGAAGGGGGAGGCTGGAGGTAGGGAGGCTACTGCCATGGTTTGGTGGGAGGTGAGGAGGGCCTGAACTAGCTTCCCAAGCGTGGGAAGAGAGAGAAAGGCCCACTGAGGCAGATGTTTTGGAAGTAGGATTGATGAGCCTTGGCAATTGGCTAGTTGGGGGGGGGGGAGTTGGAGAGGGAGGGAAAGGTAAGAGATAAGGACAGGAGCTAGGACATTCAAACCTGGGAAATGGCTTTTAAGTGCTAGAGACCTTTCTCTGGTCTTTTTTATTTCATGGGCACCAAGCCCAGCCCTTGGACTGTTCTTCTGGGGACACACCAGATAAAGTTCAGCAACTCAAGAAAGCCAGAAAGTGGTGTTAATGGTGACATTTCAGGCACTGTGGCAGGCCAAGAGGGCCTGTGCCCCTTGCTGAGCTCCGAGGGTACTTACAGCCACCTGTAAGCAAGGCAGGCCTGGCTCCCTACAAAAACAAAAGTCCTTACCTTTCTTCTTTGACCTCATTGGCAGAGGCCTCCCAAGGCATTTGTCCATGGAGCTGTCCTCTGGCATGGAGAAGCCCTCCGCAGTCATACTCCCACTAGTTGGGATGTCTGCCCCCGAGGAGGTTGAGAGCACACAGTTGGTGAAGGCCCCAGAAGAGTCCTGCTCAGTGAATATCCCAGAACCACTGACTGTAAGAGTAAAAGCCCGGGTGGCCTGAGTTAGGGGCCAGGACAGGTAGAGGACCCCTCCTCCCAAGGATGGTGGCATCTAGTAGTCTCAAGGTCTGGACACACAACCATGGCCTTCCAAGTCTCTCAAGTAGCCCCTAGGCCAAGGCAGGGGAGACAAGTTGGTACAACAGAGACAGCCAAGGATGGGGTGTCCTCTCTGGCTCCCTTTCTCCCCTCTGTAACATGAAGGAATTGAACTTTCCTATTCCACCTCCTCCCCATTAATTCTGTCCCTCTAAGATTACCTTCTCTATCCACTACATATATTCTGTATGTACATGGTGGTTTACAAATTGTCTCCCCCATTGGCCTGTGAACCCTTAGAGACAGGGATGCCTTGCCTTCCTTTGTACCTCCAGGTTAGCGCCATGCCTGGTGTCTGACGGCACTAGAGAGGCCCTAACGCAGATGAGGTGTGAAGACAATCCCCCCCACCCCACCCTTGCCTCCATACTGCCAGGGGGTCTACACTGCCCTTGGCTGGGGAAATGGCCACCTGGATTAATTTTAGAGATGTGAGGAAATGGAGGGAGCATTTTCCAGAGAAGGCCACTGAGGCCGGGGGCACAGAAAAGGACTTGTCCAAGGTCATATATCAAGTCAGTGGCAGAGCTCAGTCTAGAAGCTGTTCTCCCATCCCCACTTTGGGGCTGCAGGCTCACTCCCCATCAGGGGGTAATTTTACTGCTCCCCACTAAGGGCAACAGAGCCCGTGCTCTGAAGAGGAACCCTGATGGGGCTGGGGTCAGGGAAGAAACAGCCTTAGGTGGAGCATCAGGCTTAGAAACAGGCAAGAAATCAATTCGAATCCTGCCTTGGGCCCCAGCTGGACAACCCCAGACAAGTCCCTTCACCTCTGGGCACCTCTTTCCTCCATCATATAATGGGAAGAAGAATGTCCCCCAAATTAAATGAGTTTCTGCAGTGGCTGAGACCCTAGACACTCTGGCTGCCCTGGGATGGGCTCAGGACCTGGGAGATCTCGGGAGAGCTTTCCCAGTGTGGGCTATTTCTGGACTTCCACGGTCAGAATTCCAACAGCGTCACAATCTGTGTCTTCTAATGCATGCCTGGGACCCTCTTGCTAGACCTACTGGGCCCTTAGCTTCCCAAGCAACATCTATGCATCCTCTCCAGCCCTGCTAGCCAGAGTAGGGACTGGAAAATCTATTATCCTCAATTTACAGAAGGGAAACTGAGTCCCAGAGAGGGGAAGAGACTTGCCCAAGGTCATGTGGCTGGGAAGTAGCAGTGGTGGGACTTGAACCCAGGTCCTCTGACTCCCGTGGCTAGCGCTCCCTCTCTGGCACCCCGCTACCTCTCTGCTGTTTGGGGCTCTCCAGGGAGAGGGAGATTCCAACTCACACATGCGACTTTCATCCAGTATGTTGTTGGGGGCCTCCACGTCAAGCAGGACTTCAGTGGCCATCACAGTCTGGTTGTTATCATCTGGTGTGGGGGAAGATGGAGGAGGTAAGAGAAGTCCACGTGGGGCACAGGTCAGCCAGAGGAAGAGGCTGAGATGGGGGGTAGGAAGAACCCTGGGGGCTGGGGGGATGCCATGAGGCCAAATGAGGGGGGGAGCCACAGAGAGCCCTATGGCAGAACATCGTTGGGTTCAACCCACTGGGTCTCTAACAGAGCCCTGAGGGATGGTTTGAGGGAAACTGTGGTCATCATCCAAGTGGAATAGTGGGGAGAATGCTGGATTTGGAATCGAAGGTCTTGGGTTCAAGTCTCAGCTCTGCAGAAATCCAGGTAATATCCTGGGATACTTTTGTATGGGATGGAGCTTAAGGTAAGTCACCCTACCCTGCCCCCAGGCCTCAATTTCCTCTTCTGAAAAATAGGGAGGGTTTACACTAGCTGATTCTAAGATCCCACCTTTACCTCCTCTCCCCTCCCAGCTCTGCTTATAGGCTCCATATGCCCAATGCTCATTCCTATTTCTCTACTGATTCATACCCTTTCCCCTTCCTCCCCTTTCAAGCTCCATCCCCCAGCCCCCTTGTGAAGCTCGCCCTGACCAGCCACATGCTAACTCTCCTACTGGATCACAAAATGTCAGAACTGAAAGGGGCCTTAGAGGCCATCTAAGGTCCTCATTCTACCAGTGAGGAAACTGAGGGGGAGGGCTGTGATATGGTTGCACAGCAGCAGAGCTGAGGCTCAAACCCAGGTCCTCTGATGCCAAATCCAGTGTGCTTTTCACCACACTAAGCCAACTGATACAATAACTGTTCTGTTTCATGAGTCTTGTCTCCTCAGTTAGACTGTAAGCTCCCTGAGGGCCTGGACCATCTCATGATACTTTTGTATCCCCCACAAGGATGAGCACAGGACTGGCCACCCCCCCTCCCCTTCAGGAGCCTGTCTTGGTTACTTGAATAGTTCCCTGACCTCCCTTCTTAGGTAAGTGCCTTTGTGGTTTAGTTGGTGGACCAGCCCTCCATTCATTTCCACACCTCATTAACACACAGAGCTTCTCAGCTGTACCCCCTGTTGAAGGTGATGAGTTGAACTGGTTGTTTATCTACAACTTTTCCCTCCCAGCTCACAGGAAAGGAAAGGAGGAATATGCCCGTACATGGTCCCTCCTTCATGCCTCTGGTGGACAGTTAGTCCTAGCCCTGGTTCCTCCAGGCTTAGCTTAAAGAAGAGTCACCAGCCTCCCCCAGAAGTCTTCCTTGACTTAACTCACTTCCTAATAGTCCATCTGTCCCTCCCTTCTCCACCAGCTCATCTTCTGCCTCCCCAAGTCAGGATGCACTCCCCCCACCTCCAGCTCCCTCCCTTTCCTTCTTCCCTGAACCTGCCCAGTCCCAGCCCCAAAGAGGATGGACCTGACACCACCAGGCCTCCCTCCAGGATCTGCCCTTCGGCCACCCCCAGGTCCCGGTCTGCCATGATGCCATTGGGAACTTCATCTCGGTCCAGCCCAGAGTAAAGGTGCAGCAGTTCTGGACAGGGGAGCTGTTCCACAATCACCGCTGGAAACACAGAAGGATCGTCCAGCTGTGGAGGGAAAGGACAGCTGAAGGTATTCCCCTCCTCCCCAGCCCCCTCCTCTCACACATACCTTCTTCAGGGAGTCCTTCCTGACTCCCCCCCTGCACCTTACTGGCCTCTGAAAAAATATCCTTCCCTGGGTGCTAACCATGGAGAAGAAGAGGCCCCAGAGGTGCTCAATGTCTATACTGGCCTATGGCCTCAACGAGGCAGCCTAGGCCTCTCCTTCTTTCTTCTTCCCAGTGTGGCTCCTTCCATCCATGTACTCATACTATGCCTCCACACCCAGACTTTGGAAGACAGGAGGCTAACTTCAAGGCCTGGCTGGATATCACCTATGGTGGGGGTGGGAAGTTATCCTTTAGAAGTGATCTGGGCTCCTCTCAGCCCAGGCCAGGTTAACTGGCCACAACAGATGGAGCTGGGGGGTGCCCTTGCTGCCATGTGGGAGAGAACAGGTAGGGGATCCTTTATTAGTGACCTGAGATCCTGGTGTTCTGTCCCAAGGACTGGTTAATCCAAGGTGGGCCACTGCCAATGACAATAGGGTGTTTGCTGGGGGTGCTATCTCTGATGCTCCAAGGAGTTGCACCCATGTACCTGCTGGATCTCCTCCATCCCGCCGTTGGCAAATTCAAATACCAGTTCACTGCTCTGTACAGCAGTGGCCATGCTGCCTCTTCTCAAGGCCAGTGAGAAGGGAACGTCTGGGGCCTTGAGATCTTCGGGGCTGAGAGAGTCACACAGGCCAACTCAAAGCTGGATGAAAACCTGCCCTGGGGTCAGGGCAGCATGCTGGTTGGGGCTCAGCTGGCTGGAGAGACCTGGGTAGAAGAGAGGGAGAGGACAGAAGCCTGTGAATTCACCTTCCCCTCAGTCCAGCCTCCTAGTCCTGAGAACCACCAAGGGGAGGTGGGAGGAGAAGGAAAGAGGAAAGATGAGAAGAGAAAGAAAAGAATCATGGGAGGGTTCAAAGAGATCATCTAGTGACTAGGGGTGGGGAGACCACAAGTGGCCTCCAGTCTAATTCCTTGATTTGACAGAAGAGGAAACTGAGGCCCAGAAAGAGGAAGTTAATTGCCCAAGGTCACAGAGTTGTCAGACTTAGCAGCGCCAGGTCTCCTGAATCCTGGTGCACTGCTCTCCACCACATAAAAGATAAAAGAGAGACAGACAAGCAGAAACAAAGAAAGAGGGAAGGGGGGGCAATTAAAAGAGAAAAATGTAAGGATACTGCAAAAGATAGGAACAGGGCATAGGGTCAGAAAAAGAAAGCAGAAGGCAGAGAAGTGAAAAGAGAGAAAATGATTCCATTTAACAAATGTTTATGGAAGGCAGCACTAGCCTGGGGGCCCCTGACCCGGAGAAATAATGAAGACCCCTACGGAGGCCAGGCCTCCTCCCTAAGGGGAGGCTGGCCCATTTAGCTGTTTCAGTGCCTTCTCTCCTTCTCCTCCCCTCTCCCTTTTTCTATCTTCTTCCTCTCATCTCAAGCGCCTGCCTCTCCTTTCCTCTTTCTTCATTTTCTCCCTTTTCCCCCCTTCACCTCTCCTTTTATTTTTCCTCTCCCTTCTCTTCACCTCCTTTACCCCTCTCTTCTCCTTTTCCTTCTCTTCTCCCTTCCTTCTTCTTCCTTCTCCTCTCCTCCTGCTGCCTCCCACTTCTTTCTCTGGAGAAAGCCCTCACCCTTTTTGCCTGAAGCCTCCGTCTCCCCCAACCCAGCTGAAGCAGAGCACTCCCCCTCCCCCAACCTGCAGGCACCCTGGGCCAACATAAGACACAAGTTAGAGAAATTGGGATTCTGTGAGAGCTGGTAAGGCCCGCACAGTGGGCCCACTGGGAGCCAGCTGGCAGAGTCAGTCAGAATTTGCCCCCAGACTCCAGTGGAGGAAAGATCTGTGCTGGCCAAGGACTGCACTAAAAGCCTGGCGCCCACCCCCACCCCCCTCCCACACTTATATAAGCTTGCCCAGAGAGGGCTGGCAAACAGGGAGACAAGATGCCCTGGCCCAGAGCCCCCCCCGACAGTTTGACAGTCGTTCTGGTTTCAGGACTGAAATGTCACCCTGGGAAAGGCATGGGGACCTACCCCCCAACCTCCCCCAAAAGGCACGGCTCAGCTTCTCCCCTGGGAATTGGTGAAGATAGCAACAGCTTGGGGGAAGGGGGTGGAGAGGGCATCCTGCCTAGTCTCCAAATCCCTTTCAGGATCCCCCTCCTCTAGGAAGCCTGCTCTGAGTACTCCAGTGCTATCCCTACCCCCACATCACAGAGACTAACAATATTATTATTATTATTATTATTATTATTATTATTATTATTATTATTACACCCCACCATATTTTCTCTATTTCAGGTGTGTTGGTCCTGCCCCCTCCCCACACCCCCTCCTCTAGTTTCTGAAAAGCAAAGACTGTACCTTCGATTTGTCTCTCCTGTATCTCCCACAGTATCTGGCCCAGGGGTAGGCACAGGTGCTTGGAGATCTTATTCAGGACTGAAGCTTCAACTCTCACCCCTACACAGATGCTTCCCAAATCTACACAGCCAGATTGCCCTCCAGTGCTTCCTCTCCCCCTCCCCGCTGGACATCTCTACCAGGATGCTTGACGTCAGCATTTCAAACGTAAAGTGACCAAAACAGACCTCATCATTCCTCCCCGCCAACCTCAACCACCTCCTCTGCCTGGATTCCCTATTTCTCCCGATGGCACCAGCACTCAAACTCTCCGACTTCTTCCTCTTTGCACCACCCCCGCCAACATCCAAGCAGTTGACAAATCCGGTCGATTCTACCTCGGAAAGCTTTTACGTCCATCGCTTTCTCTCCACTCCCACTCCTCTCACCTAGGTCAGACCCTCATCTCTTCTCCCCAGGACTATTGCAACAGCAAATTAAGTCTCCCTGCTTCCAGTCTCTCTCCTCGCTGATCCATCCACCATACAGCTGCTGAAATTACCTTCCTAAGGCTCAAGCCTGGCCATGTCCCTTCTCTATTTAAAAACCTGTTAGTAGCTCACCATAACCTACTAGATAAAGTCTAAAGTCGTGACCCTGTCATTCAATACCCTCCCTGATTCCATTTACCACTCTAGCCTTACCTCCCACGTATCCCACTATGGCCTCTGTGTTCAGCCAAACTACTTTCCTCCTCCCTAGTTCTCATCCTGCTGTCTCTGCTCTCCCTGCCTTTGCACATGGGGTTCCCCATGCTTGGAATGCTCCTTCCCCCCCCACCAAAAAAACCCCCAAACCAACCCTCCCTTCATTCAAGGCTATATATCGTCCATGTAATCTTCCTTCCACTTGGGGTAAGTGGGCCATCCGTCTTTGAATTTCCAACAATCTCTAATATTTATTTGTGTACACTTTGTATAACAGTGGTTAACATTTACAGAGCACTTACAGGTTTGTGAAGCCATATATTGTACATATAGATGTGTGCATATATATGTATAAAATGTCATTTGATAACACTCATTCTCCATCCTTCCCCCCCATCAAAATTCAATTGAACAAATTGTTGATTCACCGATTAAATGACTACTACATAATTGTGCTGGATAATGAGGATGAAAAATACAAAACCAAAAACATTCTCTGCCCTCCAGCTAGGAGATATTGTGGCCTAATGGAAAGAGCCCAGGATTCAGAATAAGAGGAGCTGAGTTTGAATTCTGATACCCAATACCACATAGGTAGATCCCCAATCTACCTATACGACCTTGGGCAGTTTTTCTCATTTGTAAAATGAGACAGTTGGACATTTTCATAAGCTGTGTGACCCTAGGCAAGTAAGTCAGGTAACCTTACTTGGCCTCAGTTTCTTTCATCTGTAAAATGGGAATAATAACAGCACCTACATCCCAGGGTTGTCGTGTCAACCAAATGAGATCCTAATTGTAAAGTGTAATTGTAACTGTAGAGAGCCAGGCAGTACCATGTAAATGTTAGTTATCATTATTATGATTACCTCTCAAGGTTGTTGTACTGAGCAATAGACGTGTGTAAAGCACTTTGCAAGCTTTAAAATGCTATAGAAATGTGAGCTATTTTTATATGTAAGGTTACCATTTCACAAGAAACCTGGGAGATTGTGTAAACTTCCCAAAGACACAAATTGGGTCTTATCTATCTATCTTTGTATACCTGCCCAGGGTCTTGGGATTCATAGGCCCTAAACACTGACTTATTGAATTTAAGTGAATTTTTCACATGATTGAAGTCCAAAATCCTGACTCTGGCATTCAAGGCCCTCCACAATCTGGCCCTTATACAGAGGCAGGATTCGAACCTGTGCCTAGGCCTTACTGGACATGGAATCAGTAGATCTGAGTGACCACAGCCTTCCTCTCTATTTCCTCCTAAAAATAATTATAACTATTCTTCCTCCTAATAATACTAATAATATTACTAATAGTAATAATAATAGTAGTAATAGTAGTACTCCTAATAGTAATAATAATATTTTCTCCTACTAATAATAATAGCTACCAGTTATATAGTGCTTTAAGGTTTGCTAAAAAGCACTTTACAATTATCTCATTTGACCCTCACAACAGTCCTAGAAGGTATTAGCCTCACTTTTCAAGATGAGGAAACAGGGGGCAGCCAGAAGTTAAGTGATTTGCCCAGGGTCACTCACCTAGTGTTGGAGGCTGGATTTGAACTCTGGTCTTCCTGACTCCACGCACACCTACTGCACTACCTAGCTGCTTCCTAGGTGATGACACTACTAAGCACTGCTTCCTTCAAAAGGCTGCCACCACGGGGAGAGTGATAAAACTGAAACTGCTAGAGATATGGGTGGGGGGAGGCCATGGGGAGGGACCTGTTGCCAGGGAAAGAGCTGACCTAGGTTTAAATGTGAACTCTGCCACCTCACCTATGTGTCTCTTATGCTCTCAGAGCCTCAGTTTCCCCATTTTGAAAATGGGGGAAGGGTAGATTGGACTATGTGACGTTTAAGGTCCCTTCCAGCTTGAAATCTCTGATCCATTGTGTGTCTCTTGCCTTGTTTTGTTATTCTTTAGAGTCCCTGGGGTCTTACCTACCCAGCTTCCTTAAGCCAGGGAGGGCCACAGTCATAGACTTCCTGTGTATCTTCCCCACACACACAATGCCTAACACTGAGTGAGGACTGGCTCAGTAAAGCTTGATTGATTTCTCTTGTTGACCTGATTCCCAGCTCTGTTTAACACCCCTTGCTCCAGCAATAAGCAGCAGGCCTGTAGCTCCGCCCCCCAATCAGCCAGCCAGTGACCACATCCTTTGGGGGCTACCACCACAGCTGAAAGGCCGGGAAAGCCCCCCCTCCCCCAGAAACTCTCAGCTTGGAGGGGGAAGGAGGGAGGGGAGGAGGTGCTGGCTGGCCCAGACCTTCTTACGTTGGTGGGAAAAATCAACTTTTAAAAAGGGGTGGAAGGAAAGGCTGCCCTCAGCATGCACAAAAGCACCTAGGCTGGTTCCCTAGGCTCAGACTGAGCCTGTTAGAATTCTGCTCTGTCCTCAGAGTTAGCTAGGAGAGATCCCCTAGCTGGGATCGTTCACTCCCATTTTCCTAAGAATACATTGGCTGGCAAACTTCTCTTGGCCCTTTTTATATCCACACCTTGCCTGCCCCCAAACAAAAATAACTAACTAAATAAAAAGTGAAGAAAGGCATTCTGGTCTCAAAACTAGGGAGACCTGGGTTTAAGACCCCTGACCTTTGGTAAACACTGTGTGTCCCTGGGCAAATGATTTAACCTCTCCCTACCCTAATCCAGCGGTGTCACACTCAAAAAGAAACAAGAGGCCAGTAAATCATACCTACTGAGCCCTGTGTGCTGCTGAGTATTGACTTAGAAAACCACATATTAACATTATCTATGTTCTGTTGTATTTTTTATTTATTTTGTTAAATCTTTCCCAATTACTTTTTAATCTGGTTCCAGGGTATACCTGGGAGTGTTCAGGCTGCATGCAAAGCCATCCCAGGGACCAGGGTTTGATCCCTTTGCTATAGACAAATCTCTAGACAAGACCAGAAATTTCAGAGAAGGTGATGACCTGAATTGGTAGAGGGAGTCCTCCCCACCTGGGAGGTTGCCTATACAGATGAAATAAGGTCCAGTCTTTATTACTATTAAATTAGAATGTCCCCAAGGACAGGCACTGGGCAATTTTTCTTCTTTATATTCCCAGTGCTTAGCACAGGGCCTTGCAAATAGTGTCTCCACTAAATACATGTTTGGTTAAAAAAAAAATCACCTGAATTCTAACTCCAAATACGTTACTTTCCTACCTAACCTCTCTGGGTCTCAGCTGCTTCTCCTGTCAAATGGCCAGAGTAGTACAGGTAGCCTTGCTACCTCCCAGGAGCTCAGACAAGAAAGCTTTTTCATAGGATTTAGTGTTGAGAAGGACCTTAGTGATGGTCCAGTTCTCATTTTACAGATGAGGAAACTGAAGTGAAGGGAGGGGAAGGGACATGCTCAAGGTCACATAAGGAGTAAGATCATAAGACCTGGGTTCAAATCTTGGCTTTGCTAACTCCCAGAGGTCTCCTGACCTTGAGCAAGTCACTCCTTTCTGGGTCTCAGTCTCTCTGCTTGTAAAATGAGAGGGTTGGACCAGGGGTGGGGAACCTTAATAAAAGGATTTGTTCTGTAAAACTTGGACTCGGTCAAAAGGTCGAACTTGAGGACCTAAAGGGCTACATGTAGCCTCCAGGCTCCAGGTTCCCCACCCCTGGACTAATCAATTTTTACGGAACCTCTCACCTCTAAAGCTTTTATCTTTCTCAAGTCCCAGCTAGGTGTCCTAGCAGGGCTTCTTAAACTTCTTTCATTCTCGACCCCTTCTTAAACTGTGAGTCTCAACACCATGGGGGGGGGGGTGTCACGGTTTAAGAAGAGGAGAAAGCATTGGGTCTGGTCTCAGGAAGACTTGAATTCAAATCCAGCCTTAGGTACTTATTAGCTGTATGACCTTTGGCAAGTCGCTTCACCTCATTCTGCCTTAGTTTCCTGAACTGTAAAACAGAGATCTTAAGAGCACCTACCTCCCCAGGTTGTTGTGAAGATAAAATAAGCTAATAGCTGTGAAGCGCTTAGCATAGCACAGTGCCAGAACCGCAGTAAGTGCTTAATAAATGCTTGTTTCCTTCCCCTTTAAGCCATTTGGAGGACCCAGACTTGTTCAGCTGCTGACCACTTCCCAACTAATTAGAAAAAAGGTGACATCTCCCCCTCACCACCCACCTGGGGGCCATTCAGCCAATGCCTTTCCCTCTCAGCCAATCCAGAATGCTCCTGCTGTATCATTTCTGCCAGGTGGCTTAGCAGAGACCTACTCATAAATGGGTCTTCCCTGTGGACATGTTCTTTGTGTTGGTCTGGGTCATACCATGGATGAGTAAAGTGTGTCTGGTTGCAAACTGTGTGCCAGGACGTGTGAGATGTATAGGGACTGTTGGCCCATGCATGTATCTGAGTCAGCCCTGCCTTCTTACATATAAAAGTGTACCTGCCCACAACTCTGGGAGACCACAGGTAGAAAGCCCCCCTCCTGCTCCCATACAAGTCAAGTGGTCTATTGCTCCCCTTCCAGTTCAGCCCAAGCTGCCCTTCCCAAAGGGGTCTGAGAAACCTGCCAGAAGGGGACTGTAACCCCTGAAGGCAGGGATTTTCTTTTTGCCTGGTATTCTTGCATCCTGAGCCATTCGGCCATTCAGTAGTGGGCACTCCATAAATGTGGGTTGAACTGAATTGAATGGGTGGGGGGAGGTGGTATCAGTTCAATTCACCACACATTTATTAAGCACTTACTACACGCATGGGAGCTGCCCTTCCCTCAAGGAGCTGACATTCTGCTGAGAAGACACAATCGAAACACAGCTACATTCATACCGAATATATCGCCAAGTAATACAAAGTAATTTCAAGAGGGAGAGAGCGCTAACAGAGGATCAAGAAAAAGGCCTCGCTGGAGGAGGCAGCTCCCGCTTTGAAGCAAGTTAGAGATACAAGCGAAGGTGAGGGGAAAAAAATGCCTTCCAGACATGGGGAACCAAGGGACAGAGGATGGCATATTGGGGATGAGGCTTGGTGAGGGCGATGGTGGCAGAGGACTTCGTGAGAGGCTCAGAAAAGGTGAAGGGGGCTCGGGGAGGGGATCTTCAAGGGTGATAAGGGACGATGGGGAATCTTCGGTGAGGGGATGGGGTGGGCTCAGGGAGGGGATCAGCGAGGGTGATGGGGGCTGAGGGAAGGGATCTTCGAGGGTGATAGGGGCTCCGTGAGACATAGGGCCCTCAGCAAAGACAACGGGGAACCTTCGGTGAGGGGATGGAGTGGACTCAGGAAGGGGATCTGCAAGCGTGATGCGGGGGCTCGGTGAGGGGATCAGGGCCTCAGGGAGCCATGGGGAACGATCAGTGAGGGGATGAGGGGGAGCTCAGGGATGGGATGGGAGGGGCTTCAGGAGGCAACAGGGGGCTCAGTAATAGCGGTTTGGGGTTCTAAGGAGGGATGGGAGGACTCCGGAAAGGGATGGAAAGACGATGGGGGTTTCAATGAGGGCGATTAGGAGGCTAAGGGAGGAGACAGGGATGAAGGAATAGGGGACTCGGTGAGAGGATGGACGGTTCAGTAAAAGAATGGAGTGGGCTATGAGTGATTGGGGGACTCAATCAGGAAGTGGAAGACTCAGTGAGATGGGGAGGGTCAATGAGGGGGTGAAGGAATCAATGAGAAAATGGAAGGCTCCAAGAGATGATGAGGGGCAATGAGGAAGTAGAAGATTCAATGAAGGAGGTGGGGGCCTGGTCGAGGTGATGCGGGGGTGCTCCTTGAGGATGATGGGCTCAGCGCGAGGATGGGGGTATCAATGAGATCCAGGTGCTCAATGAGAGGATGGGGTGCTCAGGAAGCCGGATGGAGGCTCAGTGAAGGAGATGGAGGCTCAGAGCGAGCGAAAGCCCTTCCATAGCCCAGCCCAATGATGGGCTACAGCCAGCTGCCAGTTAAAAACCAGCTCTGTCACGCTGGGCCCCCGTTTTCTGAGGCAAGCTCAGAGGCTCGACAGCCATGGTGGTGATGGGGGGGCGCGTGTAGGGGTTCAGGCCACCCAGGTGGCCACCGCTGCAAGAGCCCCCTCCCTCCCCTCGGCCGATGCCGCCACCCCTGCCAGGCACGGTGCAGGCAGCGCGGGCCCCCGTGCTGTGCCGGCAGCCTAAGCCGACTCAGCCACCACCGGCGAGGAGAGAGGCCTGGAGCAAACGCGAGGGGGGAAAGAGGAGCCAATGGGCTCCCTCCTCTCTATCGTAAGCATCCTGAAGCACTTTGCAAACTCTGCGAACCTCGCGCCTCCCCGCGCTGCTCGTGCCGGAGCCGGTGCCGGTGCCGCCGCCGCCGCCAGTGGTGCTGCCGCCGCCGCCGCCGCTGCTGCTCCGCGACCGGCGGGCGGGCGGGCGGGCTCTGGGGTGGGTGGGGCGCGCCTTGGCCGCGAGCCCGCCCCGAGCGGCGGCGGCCACGACCGGCCCCAGCGCGCGGCCCGGGCCCGGGCGGCCGCCCCAGACACGCCCCCGGCCCGGGCCCCGCCCCCGAAGGAGAACGTTCCGACCCAGTAGGCCGCCGCCAGCCCGGCCGCCAGCGGCTCCAGCTCTGGCTCGGGTCTCCGCAGGTGTCGGAGGAGTGCGGAGGGAAGGGGAAGGGCCCTAGAGGAGGGAGAAGAGGGGCTTCATTTGCATGCGGACTCTGCCCCCTCCCCCGCCTCCTGAGCGCAGAGCGCCGCAGCCCCTCCCCCCCGGCCCCCCAGGAAACCGCCGCCGGGGGCCCGGAGGCCAGAGTGGGGGGCCGCACCGGCGGGAAGGAGCGGGGGGAGGGGCCACAGGCCTCCAGCCCTGGGAACCCCAGGGCCCGCGGGCGGGGCCTCAGTCCTCACCTCTGCTGCCCGGCGGGGCTGAGCTGAGCCCTGGGAACCTTTTTCCCCTTTTCCCCCACTCCTGGGAATACGCGGCCCCAACCCCGGTCCGAGCGTCCCAGCCGGAAAGGATGGGCAAGCGGCCTGTGGCCCGGCGCGGGTATGGAGCACAGGATGGCTTGGGGTGCTCTGCGCGGGGGTGGGGGCCCAGGAAGCAGCCTCACTATTGCCAGGACGCACAGCCGTTTGGATGCAGCAGCAGCCAGTCTGGGCCTCCCCCCTCCGCTCAGGATCTCCCCAGCTCAGTGCCAGATCCTGGTCCCCAGTGGGTGGGCAGGTAGTTGAGTGACTGAGTGAGTGACTGAGTCAGTGAGCGAGTGAGTCACGGAGTGCGTTGGTGACAATTCCCTCAGCTGACCCAGTGGAGCTTACACACGTTGCTAGTACCGTTGGCCCCCTCACGTGAACTGACAGGGCCAGAGGCCAGATGGACAGAAAGGTGGGCCTGCCAAAGTCTCCCTCCTAATTCCCTCCCACCCCTTGCCACTGGTCCCCTCATGCCCATCACTCAGATCCACTGAGGAACGCCTCCGCACGCGCGCGCACACACACACACACACACACACACACACACCACACACACACACACACACACACACACACACACACACCACACACCCCTTCCGTGAAGCCTGGCAGGAATACTCAGGATTTTCCAGCTGGAAGGAACCTGTTGTAGCCAAGTAGTCCAACAGGACTCAGTTTCAGGAGGAAACTGAGTTCCAAAGAGGGAAAGGGACTTGCCCAGGGCCAGGAAAGGAAGTCTTAGCTTCACCCCAACAGCCTCCCCTCACCCCCAACCACTGCCCGCAAAGGTTCCCTCTGGAACACTTACCCTGTACCTCTATACAGATGAACCACCAGCCAACATCAGTCAAGTAGCAGCTACAGCAGACTCTAGCTCATGATCAATGAACTCAGATATTGATGTTTTACTAGACTGCTGGACAGGGTGAGGGGTGTGGTCGCGGGCCACAGAGCTCAGCCCAGCGATCTAGGGAGTGAGCAAACAGGTTGTCGCAGGGAACAACCCCACAAACCTTGGTCTCTCTCTCTCCAGCCCTGAGCTCCAACTCCAGTGTGCAGAATTCTCTTTCCCTTGCCAGCTCTCACTCACTCACTCTCTCTCTCTCTCTCTCTCTCTCTCTCTCTCTCTCACACACACACACACACACACACACACACACACATACACACACGGGGGCTGGGACCCAAAGCTGATTTTTTTTTTAATAAAGCTCCTCCTTCATGTTCCTTTCTGCCACCCCCTCCATTTGAGATGAAATCAGGAAGAGAGAGAGGCAAAGATAAAGACAGTGGGAGCTGTGCTGCCTGGGGTCTCTGTGAGATTATTTATGTGAAAGCCCTGTTTCCTTCCTTGTCCTCCAGGCCCCAGCATATTCCAGCTTTGGGCTTAACATAGCTCAGACTACACCCAGTACATGGTTACAGGGCCTGCCTTGGGCCCTGGCCCTCACCTGAAATTTTTGGGGTAGTCAGGGGAATTTCAAGTTCTCTAATATTGCCCATGGGTTCTTTGAGGTGGGGGAGGGCAGGGATCATCCTGAGGTTTCCAGGAGGATACAAAAATGACATGTGGAATGAGCCTTGGCTTTGGCATTGAGAGCCCTTCACATTCTGGGTTAAGCCTACCTCTCCAGACTTATTCCACATTACTCCCGTTCCTTCATGCCTGTTTGCAAAGCACTCCTTTACAACATTCCACCTCCCACCTCCCAGATTCTCCACAAGCATCCCTGTTCCTGGAATTCACTCCCTCCTCACCTGGGCCCCAGAATCCAGAGTTTGCTTCAAGGCGGAGCCACTTTTTACAGGAAACCTGGCCTGATCTCATTCATTATTTATGAATGCTCTTTCCTTATATTTTTCTATAATCACTTCTCAGTTTAAATGTTGGATACCCCAGTAGAACCTAAGCTCCACGAGGGCAGGGATTCTGCTTCATTTTGGTCCTTCCACCACTGTGTGAACAAGTCACTTACTGTCTCAGGGCTTTCATTTTCTCTTCTGTGAAATTCATGGGGGGCCGGGGGGGGCTGAGTGGGGCTGCATATCAACTCCATACGCATTGGGGGAAGTGAAAATGAACAGCAGTCCCTTCTCCAGCCCCCACCCCAGAGGTTGGGAAGGTCTTCTGGAGCAGCTCCTTCCTCCCCTCCCCCAGGCAAGATTAGGAGAGGGGAAGTTGTGGGCAAGAACTTGGCAGATCCAAGGAGCCTTCCCTTGTCTAGGTCCCCTCCACCTCCAGGGTTCTATGATTGTGTAAGACCATCCCTCATGGGAATATGTGGCTCTAGGAAGAAACCAGAGTTGTAGAGTGGGGAAAGCCCCAGATTTGGTGCCAGCAAATCCCTGTTTTTCTACTTTATAGATTTTGTAATTCTGAGAAAGTCCCTACCTGTCTCTGGGCCTCAGTTTCCTCCTCTGAAAATAAGGAAGGGGCTTGGCCTAGATGACCTCCAAGGAACCTTCCAGCTAGCTTTAAACCCAAGTGTTATTGGCTGCCAGGCCTGGAGTTGGAAGACCTGAGTTCTGACACTTACTAGCTGTGTGACCCTGGGCAAGTCACTTAACCCCATTGCCTAGCCAAACAAAAACAAAAACAAAACAAAACACCAGAAGGGGTCCTGAAGAGTCGGACAGCAAGAGGGATTGTTAAAAGGCTGGAGTTGGAAGCTAAAGTATCAGATCCCAGCTCTGCTAGCCAATTAACCTTAGCCAAGCACCTTCCCCACTCTGGGCCTCAGTTTCCTCCTCTGAAAATGAGAAGCGGGGAGGGGTAGACCGGGTATCTTTTAAGATCCCTTCTAGGTCTAAGGCTTATGACCGGCTAAATCTCAGGTCTGTTCTAGAGCTAACCCTTAGGGTCATGATCAGCAAGCAAGGAGATAGGTGGTATCAGTCCTTCCATCTTCCTGCCCTCAGGCACCTGCTGTCTGCAGCTGAACTGGGTGGAGCTCCTGATCCTAGTCCAGAACCACAAGGATTTTAGAGGGCATCTAGACCGACTGCCCACCCATGTTACAGATAGGGAAACTAAGACCCAGAGGGATCACACAGTCCCTTTGTGGCAGCACTAGAATTAGTCCCCACCTCTGGTCAGTAGCTAGTTGAGGGCCAGCAGCAGTGACCTATCCACTCTCGATGGTCTGTGCGCTGTGGAGGAGAAAAGGGAGGTGAGTCCCAGATTTACCCGCTTGACTCACTGTGTAGCTTTGGAGTGGCCATTTCATTTCTTGAGAGTTTGCCCCATCTTGAAAATGGGTTATGGGGGAAATAATCCTCAGACTACCAACTACAAGGGGACTATAGTGGGAGAAATAATTCCTAGGTTGGGTAGCAAAGATGATAAGATGAGGCACAGTGGATGCAAAGTCTTTGAAAAAATGAAAAACTCGAGGGATTGTTGCCATCATTTGAGGCCGTGGTTTGGTATGGTAAAAAGAGAACTTACAGCCCTCTGAGGCTGGAGACTTGGGTTCGGGCTGTGTTCCTGATTCCCTCCCTGTTGATCCCAGGCCACTTACTTCCCTTCTGGAGGTCACCAGTTTCTCCTCCAGCCAATGAGTGGGTAGGGACACAGGTACTCCAAGGGTCAGAGGCCTGGAATCAGTGCCCAGCCTCTGACACTTACTAGCTGGGTGACCCTGCAAGGCACTTCATCTCACTAGGCCTCAGTTTCCTCACCAATAAAATGAGAAGGGGTTGGACAGCCTCTGAGGTCACTTCCAGCTCCAAATCTCTGAATCTCTTGACAGCCTGATTTGGTAGAAAGAATAGTGAAAGTCTAGGCCCAATGTCCAGTTCTCCCATTTCCTAACAGGGTGACAAAAGACCCCTCCCATTCCTAGGCCTCAGTTTCCTCTCTGGTATAATGAAGGGGGTGTACTCTGTGGTTTCTGAGCTCCCTCCCGGCTCTGTCATTTTCTGTTCCAAGTTCTTCCCCGCTGTGTTTGCTAAGGTTTCCTCCAGTTCTGCCAGAATCTGTTCTAAGATTCTTCCAGGCTGGGATTTGGTGAAAGTGTTAAATGAGGATCATTGGGTGTCACCCAGAGAGCCTTGGCCTCTCCTGCATCCCAGAAATCTTCAATGGCTCCAGGCTGGTTCTGGGAGACTTTATTCTCAGGCTACCTAGTGGGGGAGGGTCCCAGGTTGCAACAGCTGTGAGTGCCTGGGGCCCAGGCAGGAGAGATTGGGTGGGGTGGTGCAGTTGTCAGGAGAGATCTCCCCAGCCCCCAGCTCCTCTCCCTCCCTGTAACACCCTTGGGGTTGTGGTTATGTGGCAACATCGATGCAGAAGGGCCATGAAGGAAGGGGCGGTACTGACAGTGACGGGAAAAAAAAGGGCCCTCCCCAGACCGTCTACTGAAAGCACCCAGAAAGCAGCCCCTGGCCCAGCCTACCCTGAGCAATGCCCTGCTGACTATAGCTGATCAGAGGAGTATAGATTTAGGGTGCCAGTCACCCTCATTTTACAGATGAGGAAGCTAGGGGCCTGAGATTGAAAGGGACTTGTCCAAGCTCACACAGCTAATAAGGGTCAAAGATGAGTCAAAGAAGGGGAGAAAGAACCTGGGGTCTTTAATCATACCAAGTCAGAGCTAGAATGAGCCTCAGGGTAGGTCCACCCCCCTCATTTTTCAAAGGAGGAAACTGAGGCCCCAAGGGAGGAAGTGGCTTGTCCTATTGTTAGTGCTCCTCCTTCAGCCCCCACCCACTTCTCTTACTGCTGTTAGTGAAGTGGATAGAGGATGGGCCTGGATTCAAGAAGACCGAGTTCAAATTTTAGCTGCGTGACTTGGACAAGTTACTTAACCTCTGTCTGCCTCATGGAGATAATAACAGCACCTACTTTCCAGGGTAGTTGTGAGGATGAAGTGAGATAATATTGGTAAAGTGATTAGCACAGTGCCTGGCCCATAGTAGGTGCACATAGTAGGCCCTTAATAAATGTTTCCTTCCTGCCTGCTAATTATGAACACTGAATCATAGCTTTGTTGTTGTAAGGTACCTCAGATATCTAATCCAATCCTTTCATTTTACAAAGGGGGAAACTGAGGTTCAGGGCAGGGAAGTAACTTGCCCAAGATCCACAGAGGCAGTAAATGACAAAGATGAGCCTTTATATTCATTCTATATTTACTTATCTGTGTCTATATGGTTTCCACCTGTGTGCAGAGGGTGGGCAGAGAGTTCCAGCCCTCCGGGCCTAGCTTTATACCAGCCTTTGTTTCCCTCCTTCAATAGAATATCAGTTCCTTGAGGGCAGGACCAGTTTCTTTTTTATCTTTGCAGCACCAGCACCAGACACTGGGCCTAGCACAGAAGAGCTTGTGAAATTGAATTCCCTGAGATAAAGAGTAACTAGCAGTACCTGGATTTGCATCCAGGTCCTTGGACTCCAAATACAGGGCTCTCCACTGTAAGTTGGGATGTCTCCTGGTATATTTCCAAATCTGGACATCTATTTAAGTCAGGGAGGTCCCACGAATGATGGAATTCCCATGCTGGGGAAGGGGTCATAATTTTGGGACTGAGCCCACCCAGAACTCACAGGGTGCCAGGGTGGAAGGCAGGAAAATCGTTCATGGGCCCAGAAGCAGCTTGGCCAGGCCTCAAAGCTTGGGTTCTAGGGGAATCCTGCAGGAGGTCCCAGTCCAAGGGAAGAGAAGGCTCACCACAGACCAAGTCAATTCATTAGGTTTGGGTTTTTTTTAAGGAGATGGGGTAATGTGTGACCATGACCCAACAGGATATTAAGTCAGATTCCCTTTTACTGAAGGGGCACTTTGTTAAAGAGAGACCAACATTATCTCTGCCTTCCAGCCCCTCCCAACCAGCCTCCTAGAAACTGGTGTGTTCACTCCAAGCTCAGTTCTTCAATTAACTCTTTCTCCATCCTCCCCCGGGGCCCCTCCCTCCCTGTCTGTACTTTCCTGAAAGCTCCTCCCTGCACAATGTGTATGGCTTCCTTTAACAGATTCCCCCTACCCCCCCACCCCCTTCTCTTCCCTGCCCAGGCAGGTCTTCCCTTCCTCCCCTCCCCTCCAA